GCTACTGCCCCCCATTAGTCTATGGCTTTCATTCTCCTTGTTACCTCATTGTCTTCACATGGCTGTGACACAGACAACTCACATTCACAGTCACGACAGAAAAGAAAAACAGCAAAAAAAAAAAAAAAAACTGATGAGGTTCAGGCCCACTTTTTAAAAATGAATCATTGCTCTGAAGTCTGTAGTTCCTAGGAAGGCACCAAACTCAGGTTTTTATTTATTTATTTATTTTAAGATTTGTTTATTTATTTATTTATACAAGCACTGGGTACAGTCAGAAGCTCGGGAGGGTGAGAGAATTCAGCAGAGCCAGAGTGGGGAGCAGAGCAGGCAGAAGGACCGAAGCACACTGCTGAGGGGAGCAGCGGGCAGCAGGAGAGGACTGTGCGCCATGTGGGACCCTCCTCCAGAGGCCGGGGAGCATCCGGGGATCGAACCTGCGCTGCAGAGGCTGCGGGCAGCTTCACAACCCAGCACTCAACCGCTGCGCCACCGGGGAGGCCCTCAGGTTTTTATTTTTATAGCCGTGGTGGTAGAGAGAAAAGCTAAGACAAAGAATTTTGGATTTAAACTTGTAAATAAATTTTAATAATTTAATAAAAGTAAAAGAAATGTAAGTCAAATTCTTTGCTTTATTTCTGGCCTTTTTTAGGTTCCTTCTGCTGCTATTCACTTTTCTGATCTCTCAAGGGTCTTTTCCATGAATCCTGTCCAGTTTGCATAATTACAGCCATCCTTTTGAAACTACAACTCGAGATTTGTTGTTGAAGTTACATTCGGCAAGTTTTTTTTTTTAATGATCTTTTTGGATTATTACTAAGCATCATATTATAGGATTACTGTAATGTTTATTTATTTTTTAAGATTTTTAAAATTTTATTTATACAAGAACTGTGGTACAGGCCAGACACGCGGGAGGGTGAGAGGATTCACCAGAGACAGAGTGGGGAACAGAACAGGCAGACTGACTGAAATACACTGCTGAGGGGAGCAACGGGCAAGACAGGAGAGATCTGCTGGCCATGTGGGTTGCTCCGAGGCTGGCGGGGATTGAACCATTACTGCAGAGGCTGTGGACAGCTTTACAGCGCTGCGCTCAACCTCCAGCCCAACCAGGGAGGCCCTTGTAATGTTTATTTTTATGTGTTTCAATTTTTAATAACATTGTGAAGCACTTGAAATTGCACTGAGGATTTGGGCATTTTGGCCTTTACAACTATAAGTGTCAAGGCCTTGAAGTAGGAAAAAGCTTCTAAGGGAAGGCAGAACTGGCTGTAATTCAGGAAGAAAATGGAATTAGTTGGAGCTGAAGTCAACGAGTTTAGTGTTGCCAAGTCATATAAGGACAGGAAGCCAAGTGTGGCCAAGTCATATAAGGACAGGAAGCATATTAAAAATAGTGAATTTGGTACATTTTGTCCCAATTTTACTAACACAATTTGAAAGACATTAAACCAGTAAGTAATGTTTTAATAATCACATTTCAAGCATTCTGCCTACTCTTTGGAGAGGGGCTGAAAGAGAGAGAGTAGAAACAGTGGGGGCATGTCAGAGTCTATTTTTTTATCCTGTTGATAGATGATTATGTTAGAAATGGAGGGAATGAAAAACAGTGGTATTGAGGAAAGGTTTATAGTGAACTGACACAACATATTAGAGGAATGGATGGTGAGTAGTGAAACAAAATGTAGAATTAGGAAAGATTCTGAGGTTTTGGGCAAGATTAACTGAAATGGTGGTGTCATTAACTAAGATGGGAAATCTGCATCATGGATTTAAGGGGATTTAGGGGTTCTTGAGCTAGCTACTTCAGACTCAATGAAAGTTAAAAGCAGTTGAAGAGGTGAAATTTGGAACTTATAATAAATCAAAGGAAGTGCATGTAAGGAAGTAGACTATATAGGATTATCTTGGGAATAAATGTAGATAGGGTAGAAGTTCAAGGACAAAGTCTGGGATACCCAACAATAGAGGTTAGAAATAAGACAAAGATTCAACAAAAAGGAACACAGAAGGAACTAAATTTCAAATGGGGAAATGAGGCTGAATGGTGTGTGACAATCGGGAGAATGGAGTGTGACAATCAGGAGTGAATGGTGGAAGATATCAGGCATTGACAGATGAGGTCTAGGGGTCACTACTAAATTTGCAGCATGGAAGTGGGTGGTGGCTTTGCCAAGGTGTCTTGTCTAAAGTGGATTCAAAAGAGAGTTGGAGATGCATGACTTTTATGAAATATATTGCTTCAAAAGGAAGCAGAATCACAGGATGTTCACTTTTAAGGAAAAATCAATAATCTGCACAAATAGCTGTGATCAGAAAACCACAAAATCATTTGAATTGATCCAAATATATGAGTTCACTCTGGGAAGTGTTTAATTCTGTTAAACAGGGGAATGATGGAGAGAGGTCTGGAAAAGGTCAATATATATACACATTTTTGAAGAAGAATGTAACAACCCCGAGAGAACCCAGAAGGTGACAGTGATGTTTATAGGAGAAAAAGATTTCATGAAATTGATTGCCTGCCAATGAAACAAAAGTTAATATTAAACCATGGAACCAATAAATTCTTCCCATTTTGTAACACAATGATAAAGGTTTTAGGTAATCATTTACTCCTTAGCATAAAAAAATATTAAAGAGCTTAGAGAAATTTATTTGAATGAAATTTGGACCCAGCACTCTTCCTCCATCAGGTGAGTTTTCAATTTTCTCCTTAGTTTTCTGCTTTTGAAATGATGAGAATGGGTATAGTCCCCATAGAAAGAATCTAAATTTGCTGTCTTAAGGTAGAGATTCTGGGGTTGGGGTAGAAAACGCCTTTTTCCCTGCTGAAATAACTGAAAAAGAAAAAAAAAATTAGGTTTCCCCTGGTGGTGCAGCGGTTGAACGCTGGGCTGCGAAGCTGCCCGCAGCCTCTGCAGCACCGGTTCCATCCCCAGCCACCGGTAAGGGTCCCACATGGTGCGCAGACCTCTCCTGCCACCCGCTGCTCCCCTCAGCAGTGTACTTCGCCAGTCTATCTGCTCTGCTCTCCCCTCTGATTCTGGTGAATTCTCTCACCCTTCTGCACTTCTGACTGTACCCAGTGCTTGTATAAATAAATAAATAAATCTTAAAAAAAAAAAAGAAAAAAAAATCCCTTTTCCTAAAAGAAACAAGAGACCCAGAACTCCTGGGAATAAAACCACCAGGAAGGACAGCTGCAGAGAGAATCTGAATATTTGATCAGATTGAATTTTTGATTCATAGATGAATTAGCAATTTAAAATTTTATTTTTAAGGTTTATATCACCCCAAAATTGGAACTGGACTAGATGATCTGCAGCTTAAGATTCAAATGTAAGACTTTTTTAAGTGTGAAGCATTAAAAAAAAAAAAAAACCAGCCCCAAGTGTATCTATGGTGAGCCAATAAATGTAAATGCTGAATTCTGGCAAGAAAGATTTTTGTCAGGACTCAAAGATCAAATTAATCTAAAAAGACCAAACCTTGCCAGTGAACTTAAGTATTGAAGAAAGCGATACACAATAAAATATGATGATTTATGGAGTAGTTAGTGGATGAAGAGTTTGGTGACCAAAAGACTTCCTTTTTGAGGCTAAGGCTGTACCCAATTCTTAGTTCAGTTTTTTAGCTGAGGGTATGTTCTCAGACAATGAGGTCAGTACGGCTTCCAATCACAATTCCTTATAACATAATTATGAATTTTGTACCTTTTAAAAAAATATTTATTTATTTATTTATTTATACAAGCACTGGGTACAGTCAGAAGCGTGGGAGGGTGAGAGAATTCACCAGAGCCAGAGCGGGGAACAGAACAGGCAGACTGATGAAATACACTGCTAAGAGGAGCAGCGGGCAGCAGGAGAGGTCTGCGCGCCATGTGGGACCCTCGCCGGCGGCCAGGGATCAAACCTGTGCTGCAGAGGCTGCGGGCAGCTGCACAGCCCAGCGCTCAACCGCTGTGCCACTGGAGAGGCCCTGAATTTCGCACTTTTCAGGGGATGCTCTTATGCTCAGAACAGAGTTCAGGACAATGTAGGTGAAAGTTGTCACTGCCTCTGTGCTGTAAGGGACAGGGCTTCTTTTGTTAGGTTTTGATCCCCTTCAAGTCTTCTGGTTCTAATCAGGATCTTTATAATCTCCCTTAGGCTTGAATCCTCAACCCCCTTGGAGGTCTAGATCTCAAGCCCCTGAATCACTGAAATTGATGTATCCTCCTCACCTCAGCCCCAGGTTCACTGAAGAGCTAATCATTCCTCCATCTTTATTATATCCATAGTGAAATATCTTTTAAATCATTGAAAATGTATTTTAAAAATGTGTTTGCAATTATTTTTAGTGATGATTACAATACAATACAGATAAATGTTAATGGATGATGAGGTGTACCTGAAAGCTATATGATATTATAAATCAGTTATTTCAATAAAAAAGATGTTTACTATATTTTTTGTATATCTAAATGTTTACAGTAGAGATTTTCAGGTAATTTTATTAACTGAAAACATACAGATGTGCTTTGGTGGTGAGTGAGGTGAGGCATATACAGACATGGGCATGTGAAATTGTACCACTCCAAATGGGACTCCCCCAAACTGTGGTATTGTAAACCATTGGTCATTCAATACAGTTTTATTAAGAAAGAAATTTCAAAGAAATTTATCGTTTTTGACATCCTTCTGATAATAACATCAGATTAGAGACATGGAAATATGGACTGGAAAGAATATTTCACTCAGCCAAGCAATCCAGACTGGATCCTTATTTTAGAGAAGCAGAACTAATATTAGCAAGGGTAACTGGGACCATCCCAGAGGCACACAATTGGCTAGTTATAGTCAGGACGAAAAACCAAGACCCTAATCTAGCACTTTTCCCACAAAAAACATTTTCTCCTAATTCTTAGAAGATTTGGGGCAATGTGTTATGATATATGACACTTCCCCCACCTCTGATTGCTTTTGCATTCTATTATTCCACTAGATAAATGCCAGTCCCTGGGAAAAGAGAAACAACATGTCTGTAGAAGGAGACAGGGAAGATGTTTCTAATGAGAGTGTCCTGAACATCGCTCAAGCACAAACCTCCAGGAAAGGTAAAACCATATGCTGCCGGTTTATGAAACTGGATCTCTGTTACCTGACTTGCCTTTTAATGATGATATATAGCATCTTCTTTCTGACACCATTGCTGAGCATTCAAGACAGTTAAAAAGCATTTTTACTGAAAACTAGTTGTTCTTTAAAAAAATCTTTGAATGTCATGTAGGACAGGGAGGTATCAACATTGTTTTAGATGAAGGAAAAATTGCAGAGCAATGCAAGGTAGGAAATTTAGAAAACAACTTGTCTTTTCTCTAAGTTGACGAGGGGTGGGGAGCACCCCATTAAATCTTTCTGCTCATATTTTAACCAGATGTACCCAGAGGGAACAGGCTTTTTCTTTACACCATCTCATAAATGTCACTTTTCCTCCTCTCTCTCATCTATGTTGCCACTTCTTTTTAAAAATAATATGTCACAAGAAAAAGCTGTTAGTTAAGCATCCAATTCAATGTCGACAACTTCAAGGAAAGTTGTGGAGAACCAAAATAGCAACAAAAATGTAGGGAAATGTAAATGTCCTATGGTGAAGGAAATCGAAATAAAAATAATAGAAGGTTGATTCTTGGAAAAGGATGTTGCATTCTTGGTAGTAAAACAAGCCATTCAATACTCAGATCGATCTGCAGAGAGATTAAATATAAGTAATCATAGAGGCAATAGAGACAGAAGGATTAAAATGTTGTTAATTATATGGTAAATAGAACAAGTTCATGTATTTCTATGAAAATATAGTGCATGTTTGAATAAAGAACAAAATTCTTGTCAAAAGTAATGTAAGAAATGGAAAAATGTGTCCAAAAGTTATCCATTTTATTTTTTTTTTATGTTTGGTGACTTAGTGGAGGGAACTTATCCATTTTAAAATAAATTATGTCCTGATAGTTTCACTAGGAAAACTCTGGGAGATTTCTTAAGAAGTAGAAATTGGTTTTGTATCCTGTACAGAAGATATCCAAATAATTCATGGAGATTCCCACTTTAAGAAGGTGGAGTCTACTTCCTCTCTTGAGTGTGCACTATGCATGTGACTTCTTCCAGAACACAGTGTGAAAAGGGAGGAATAAGGAGTAGCTTTGCAGTGAAGAAACCTGGCAAATGCTCCTACAGGTCAGTGATTAAGGTCCATATCAACAGTAATAAATCATGTTGATACTATGTACCTTCATGGGAGAGCTACTGTGACAAAACCTGAGGGGAGAAATCTTAGGCTGTCAAATAGTATCAAAGATCTAAAACAATGGTACTCCATTAGAAAGGTATATGTGCATATAAAACACCTTAAAAAATAGGCACCCTTGCTATCAAGTAATGAGAATGTAGTATTTGCTTGTGGGGTCTCCCACTCAAAATCATACTACTTCAGTCTAATTGTGAGAAAAAAAACATCAAATGCCAATTACGGGACAGTCTACAAATACCTCATTGGTACCCTTCAAAATGGCCAAGGCGATAGAAAGGCTGAGAAACTCTCTCAGGAAAAGGAAACTTGACAATGAAATGTATTGTGTTCTCCTGAAGGGGATGCTGCCACACACACACACACACACACACACACACACACACACACACACACAAAGACACTAGAAAAAAATCAAAGAAGTCTGAATAAAGCTTATGTGGGTTCACTGTGAGGAATGTACGATGTGATTATGAGGTGCTAATCATATAGGAAAATTAAGTGTGAGATATGCAGGCATTCAGTACTTCTTAAGTTTGACAAGTGCGCTAAAATAGAGTTATTAAGGGAAAAAAAGCTCATGGATTGAGAGGGAAAGTTTAAAACTTTAAAAAGCTAGCATGGTCAAAACAACTCATACACATTTACAAATTACAAATCAAGCTCAGTTATATTTGCTCATGTAATTCTAGCTAGACTACTAGCAAAAAATATCGTGCATTTGCATTAAAACAAAAAATAAGAAGATTGTTCCAAATATAGTTAATCATTTTTAAAAACTTATATAAACGTACTCAGTTGTCACTGAAATGCCTTGAGGTAGGTTCTTTTATTAACACTGTTTTACAAGTGAAACACTCAGGTAACAGAGGGCACAGTATTTGCCCCCCAGCACACAGCAGTAAGTAGAGCAGGTGCGATGCAAAGTCTAAGTTTGGAATTAAAATGCACTTGATAAAACTCATGTGTTTCCATTAAATATAGGAAGAAAGTAGCTTCCTACAATAAAAGTACAAGTCTACTAACTACCAGCAGCACACCTAGTGACATAACTGAGCATGCCCTGTAAACTCAGATGTGACAGGAGTGCCTACTCTAAATCTTCCCATTTACCATTGTTTTGAAAATCCCAGGGAGATATTACCCAAGGAAATGAAATAAATATTGCAAATGGCAAAAACTATTCTTATGTTTTCCTATTATTGATTATAATACATTTTTTTGGTTTAAATGTAAGGGGGAAAAGCAAGAGCGATGATTGCATGATGGAAACAATAAAAAAGAACTTTAAAAATCCATATGAGACTTACCTGAAGATAACTACATGATTCTACCTTAGGCCAGAGAGAAAGACTTGAATATATGGGAAAACATCCTGATTCTAGGCTAGGAAAAAGCAATAATATAAATGTGACAATTCCTCTAAGTATAATCAGCTGTATCAATATGTTGGTGATACAAAATCCAACGTATATTTTTTAAAGATGGGAGAGGGGAGAGGCTCAACTAAATACTCCCAGAATCAACCCCAAGTTGGGGTCTGTTTGTGAACTCCTACCGAGTGTCCCTACACAACAGGAAACAGCACTGGCCACTCCACCTGATTTGCTCCCTGGCAGAAGCCAGAATGTGGTGCACCCACATGCCATGAGGACAGGGCAATTCAATCAACCCTTCTAGCTCCTGTCCAACTCTGTGTCTGCACACAATCCCAGGGATCACCCAGGAGTTCTCATAGAACACTGGCACATTTTGTGCAAGACTAGCCAAAAATTCAAAGAGGATGCACTTCTGTAGTTTGACCTACCTATCTCTCAAGCCTCATCTCCCAGCCCCCAAACCAAACCATGTTCTCTCATGATAAATGGCACCACACATCATCCCAGATGCTCATGTGAGACACTACGGACAGTTCCAACAACTTCTCCTTTACTATCCACATTCTTCTGGTCAGTCTTTCTCTATATCCAGTTTCCTTTCCCACTCTCTTCAGCTCATCCCGGTACCCTGTCTAGAAATCTCTTTATAAATGCTCACTGTGGCCAACTCCACACATTCTTTAAGTCTCTGAACAGTGATTCTGAACGAGTTACCAGTCCCCTCACTTCCCTGGGGAACAGGTGCCCACCAAACTCTACAGAATATTGTCTGCTTTCTCCATATTCCTGCTTCACAGACAGAATGCAGTCTTTTCTGGACTGAGGGAATGTGGGAGTCAAGCACCAGTTTATAAGACGTTCTGTGCTTTCTCATCTCAGGTTTTTGCTCAGTCCGACATGGTCTGGCCTTCATCTTGTTCTTCTGTAACATTTTTCTTTCCGCCCAACAAATGAACTTGGGCATCACCATGCCAGCTATGGTGAACCACACAGCGCTCAATGCCTCCACAGAAGGGCCTCCCACTGACAGCCAGGACAACTGGACTGAAACTCAAAAGGAACCTAAGCCAGTGGTAAGTTTAATGAGGCTATGGGCAGTTTCTCAAATTCAAATGGTTTTAATTAGAGAATGATTTATTGAGCACCTGCTATGTTCCAGGAATTATATAAGAACATAATAAGTATCTATGGAGATTGTATACTCACTCTTCACATTCTTTTTATTACCTAGCCTATGATGCTTTATTGCTTACACGTTTCTTTTCTTTTTAGGCTTTTTTAATATATAAATGGATCAGGTAAATTTGCTACTGGTGAGTGATGAAAAAGGGAAATAATATATTAACCACACCTATATGTGTATATACATATATATAGTTGATGAAAGTGGTAGATTACAGGAATTGGAGAGACATGAAAGGAAAGTGGACTGCTAATTATAAGTATTTTTTTCCTCTCAATTCCTCATAATAAAAAGTTTCAAGTGTCCAGCCAGAGATTAATGGTGATGTCTCTTTTGTCATCTAGGCCCGTGTGTATGACTGGGATCCTAAAATACAAGGAATCATCCTCAGCGCCCTCAACTATGGTTCGCTATTGGCGCCAATCCCTAGTGGCTACGTGGCTGGAATATTTGGAGCCAAATATGTGGTCGGTGCTGGCTTGGTCATTTCCTCAGTCCTGACTCTTCTCTCTCCACTGGCAGCTGATACTGGGCCCACCTTGTTCATTGTCCTTCGGGTTGTCCAAGGCATAGCCCAGGTACCAAGATGTTTGCTAAGTATGAGTAGAGTATGGGTTCCAAAATGACCTCAGATACTAAGAAGGGAAATTTTCTTTTTCAGGTTATGGGATCTACAGGTCAGTATTCAATTTGGGTCAAGTGGGCACCCCCAATGGAACGGAGTCAGCTGATCACCATTGCTCTATCAGGTATTTGTCCCTAATTGTTAGGTATGTGCTACCTCATCACAGAGCTGTTGAGTGAAGGAGCAGGTTTTAAAGCTAGGTAGACTGGATCTCAGGCCATACCTTTAGTAACTGTACAACTAGCCTTTGTGTGGGGTTTTGATCTGTAGGAAGCACATAGATTCCCAAGCACATAGATTCCCACACCCAGAATAACTTCACTTCTGTTTAGGGACATCATTGGGGGCCTTCACCATTTTTGCTGTGGGAGGTGTCCTCTGCCAGACCATTGGATGGCCTTATGTTTTCTATATCTTTGGTAAGTTTGTGTCCTTTGATCTAAGACTTCTGTTTTATGGCAAAGAATGCTGGGCATGATTTCTTTTTTGCAAGTTATCTATGGTTAGCCAAATCCTAATAGATATGGATATTTACATAACTGAAGTTGACAATGTTCAAGCCTAACCATGTTGTCAGATTTGCAAAATGTTTCAGCAGCCTGAATGTGTAACTAAAATAACTTTGTGAATTTAAAGACATCATAACATTTTGTCCTGATTCTCATTTGAACCCGCAAAGGACCCCAAAGATCTTTCTTTCATAAGTTGTTGAAAATGTTTTCTGGTATGATTGTATTTTTAGTTATGTTTATTTATTTAATACATTTTTAAGTATTTTCTATTACTTATGCAACCAGAATATTGTGGAAACATGATCTCATCATAAATAAAATATTTATTGCAGTAGAGAGTCAACCAGGAGAGGCTGCAGGGCAGGTAGCCATGTGAGATGCAAGTGTTTCTATAGTAGACAGGACATGCTACAGAGCCTTCCCAAACACATATGGAACATTCCAGAAGCAACATTCTAGTACTTTACTAATTTGTCATCTCCAGACTACCCCAGCTCTGTGGTTTTCAACAACAGTCACTCATTTTCTTTGTTCTGTGGGATAGCTGGCACTTCTCTGTGTCTCATATCTCCTTGGGCAGCGTGTAGTCAGTAGTGTGTTCTTCTCAGGAAAATGGCTAAGATCTACCTGCACTAGGACATTACTTTGCCCAGTTGTAGATTCAGGGAAGAGTAAAATATTGGACAATTAAAGGAATCATCAGTGTAGAGCAAAACTTACAAACTCCAATCCAGTTACCTCTTCTCCCAGGTGGATTAGGCTGTGCCTGTTCTTTGCTCTGGTTTCTTCTCGTCTATGAGGACCCTGTGAATCATCCATTTATCAGCACTGGTGAGAAGGAATACATCGTGGCTTCCCTGGCTGAACAGGTGCACTGAGTAACTCCTCTGTCATCTCCATGTCTGTCTGCATGTGTTGGAGGTGAGATGTGCAGTGGAGCAAAGCTTCTGTCTTCTAATAGAGGGGGCATTGTCATGTGCTTTCTTCTAGGGCAGTTCTCCAGGCTGGTCTGTTCCCATTAAGGCTATGATCACATCCCTGCCACTTTGGGCCATTTTAGTCTCTTCTTTCAGTGTATACTGGCGTAATTATATGTCATTGACATACACACCAACATACATGACCTCTGAACTTCATCTTAATATCAGAGATGTAAGTATAGAGCAAAAGCTCATTCTGTTCTGTTTAAATACTTGATGGAATTCTCTGTCTTTTCTATATTTACAAAATTAGGGGGTTCGGCTGCAGGATCTCATATAGGAACTGCAATGTGGTTCACTTGCCTTCTGATTTGGAGATTCTGATTCATTGAGAAGTAACCTACTGCTTATTGGGACAGAGTGGTCTGGTTTTAGGTCAATATGACATTCATAGACTGTCACATTTTTAAGGGGACTTAGAAAATGGTGTGTTTAATCCAATCAATATTTGCAAACACAATGCTCTCCTGTCAGCCTGAACAACAAAGCTTTAGCAATATTAAATCTATCTTTGAGAAAGCTGTGACTTAGAAGTATAAAAAAATACTGAAAGATATGATTGACAGGCTAGATATTCCTGATAGGACTTATATCAAATGCTTGTGGATATTTTTAAGGAAACATTTCATTCAAGTACAACATATATAGAGAATGGTGCACATATGGGTACAACTTTCTCATTTTTCACAAAATTAACAGATGCTCTGATTGACTGATAGTAGCTTTTTAATTCTCTTTTTTACTTTATTTTATTTTTTAAATTTATATATTTTTTGCATCATTCTTCTTTTTTGTACAATGTACGCATTTTCATTTTGGTTATAGTCCCTGTGAAATTCACACCCCCCCATATACCAGTGTACCATCACCATAGTCCCTTGTGCTCTTCCCACCCTGTTTGATCCTACTCCCTTCTCCCCCACCCTGCAGAATGTCCCTGGTTTACAGTTGCCTCTTGCATGTTGATTTTGATTTTTACTTTATTATAATTATTTTTTCCCTGATCCCTTATTTGGATCCTCTACATTCCTCCTATAAGTGAAACCATCCAATATTTTTCTTTTTCCTTTCTTTCTGGCTTATTTCCCTGAGCATGATCCCTTCCAGTTCCATCCATGTTACTGCGAATGGCATGAGTTTCTCTTTTTTAATTACTGAGTAATATTCCATGGTTTATATGTACCACATCTTCTTGCTCCAGTCATCTATTTTTGGTCATTTGGTTTGTTTCCATAGCTTACTTATTGTAAATAGTGCTGCTATAAACATAGGGGTGCATGAGTCCTTTTGAATTAATGTTTTTGTGTTCTTTGGATAGATACCTAGGAGTAGAATTGCTAGATCATATGGAAGCTCCATTTTTAGCAGATCGAGGAAACTCTACACAGCTTTCCATAGTGATTGGACCAGTTTGCACTCCCACCAGCAGTGTAGGAGAGTTCCTTTCTCTGCATCCTCACCAACATTTGTTGTTTTAAGTTTTTTAATATGTGCCATTCTCACTGGTATAAGATGGTATCTCATTGTGGTTTGATTTGCATTTCCCTGATTACAAGGCATTTTTTCATATGCCTGTTAGCCATTTGCATTTCCTCTTTGGAGAAGTGTCTATTTAGCTTTTCTGCCGATTTTTGACTGGATTACTTACTTTGTTTTTGTTGAGTATCTTCAATTCTTTGTAGATCTTTTTGATCAGTGCCTATCATTAGCAATGTGCACAAAAATTTTCTCCTTATCAGTGGGGTGTCTCTTTGTTTAGGTTAATGTCTCTTTTGCTGTTCAGAAGCTCTTTAAGCAGAAAGCAGTGTATCATATTTCACCATAAAGATAACACAAGGTTGAACTATTGCTATTCTCATTCTTTGGACTCAAAAGTAGTGTTTCCAGGGTGACTGGGCTCCCTAATGAAACATGCAAACTGGTTAACAAGCTGGCCTCTTAGCAGAGGTGAGAGCCTGGGACTCCTGCATGCAAGGAGGTTGGGGTGCTGAGATCAGAAAGCCCAGGGCACAGAGGCAGTGGCTGTCTCTAAAGGTGGAGCAGGACCAGAAGCAGCAGAAAACCAGGAACACAGGCCAGGGAGTAAGAAAACAAGATGTCTAGAGAACTAGGGATGTCAATGTTGAGAGAGAGGTGTTCTGAGGCTGCTGTTGGGGATGATCAGACACTGAGGCTGAGGAGGACCAGGATGGGAGTGGTTGGAAAGACAGGTGAGAACTCAGCGCCCTCCCAACATGGGAAGTCAAGAGACCTGGACTGGTTGCTCTCAGGATATTTCTCACTAAGTCACATGACCTCGATGGTCTTGCTTTACTCATCCATTAAATGAACAGCTTGGACCAGGTCAGAGTGACATGTTCATTGTTTGGATTATATGCAACAAAGGATGGTCTCCTCCTTGCATTTTTCTGCAGCATTTTACTACAGATACCGAACTGATAATAAACAAGGTTCAATTTCTAAAAACATTTTAAAAATAAAAACATTTTAAAATAGTGGTTGGACCAGTTTGCACTCCCACCAGCAATGTAGGTGAGTTCCTTTTTTACCACATTCTCGCCAACATTTGTTGTTGCTTGTTTTTTTGTTATGTGCCATTCTTACTGGTGTAAGGTGGTATCTCAGTGTGGTTTTGATTTGCATTTCCCTGATAATAAGGGATGTTGAACATCTTTTCATATGCCTGTTGTCCATTTGCATTTCCTCTTTGTGATCATAAATTGAGCTAAAGAGTAAAACATCTTTTTATTCCTGTCCCCAGTTTCCTTGTTCTCCCATCCCACTCTACAGATAAAACTTTCTTATGAGTTTCTCATAATTTCTTCCATTGTTTCTTTCTGAGAATCCAAGCTTATACAAATGAATATTATTTTACAAAGTATTTTAACTCCAATATTTATATACTGCCTATGCTGCTGTTCTTTATATGCTGTTCCCAGGGTTCACATCATATCAGCATATGAGATCCTGATGGAGCAACATCTAGGTTGTACCCCATGGTTGAACAATAGTGGGATGAATTTCTCATAATTTTCTGTGTATTTGATTCAAGGATATATTTGATTTTTGCCAATTTGATCCATGAAAAATTTTATTTGACAGTAGTTTAATTATTATGAATTTGGGTACCTTTTAATATGTTGAGGAGCCACACTTTTTTCCTTTTCTGCAAATTGTATGTTCGTATTCTCTGCCTATTTTTCTAGCCAGTTTTGTTCTTTTTAGCATCTTTCCTTTTCCAAGTGATGTTTATATAAATAGTAAGCATTTGTCCCTTTATTTTTCATTATGAACTACATGGATCTTTCCCCCCAAGCACTTAAATTATATTTGCTCATACCATTAACATGACATTTGTATTAAAATGATGTGCATATAAGTAGTCATAGATGTAGACAACCCACCCCTATCTCAGTCTACATTACTGTGGGACATGATGACAGAGTGGGCTCCTCTGTTTCCTCCTCTCTTTCCTCAGAGTGGGCTCATGACAGGCCTGCCATTTTTGGTTGGCTTTCCCTGCTTTATCCTTGGAGGTCAATTGGCTGGTTTTCTTCTCTCCAGAAAAATCCTTAGACTCAACACTATCAGGAAACTCTTCACTGTTATAGGTAAGAACCAAGGTGGATGGAGGGTGAGTGTGGGAAGTTCAGGGAGCCTCCTGTTCACTCTGTTTTTGTCCTCCTGCCCAGGTGTTCTCATCCCAGCTGGACTGCAGTTGTCCCTGCACTGGGTGAAATCCAGCCAGCCCACCACCCTTGCCTTCTTGTTCATATCTCCCATCTTCCGCATCCTGTCTGAAGTAGGAGTCCTTCTCAACATAGTGGATATAGCTCCTCGGTAGGGACTCCTTTGTTTTATCCTCTTAAAAAAACTCAGTCCAGGTCCTAGAGGCAAGCTTGCTCTGACACAAGGGTAAAATGTGAGGACACCTGCAACAGGTCCCAAAAATGTCAGCACCAGCCCTGCATCCAAATGGCTCCTGGAAGAACCCAAAACTGAGTCCTTCAATCATTATAAACTTATATTTTTTTCAGGTGAACACAAGAGTAGAGAGTGGCCACGTTTAGAGTACAACCAGAGGCGACTCTCTTTGGGAAATGCAGCCATCGCATAGGGTTGGATCACACAGGGCTTGCTCATGGAAGGCGTTAGTGCAGGCAAATGATGGGGACAGGAGAAGGAACACTACCCTGTGATATTGGTAAATATCAAGATGACCCAACCTTCCAAACATGGCTCCTGGGGGCCTTTCACACTGATCCTCAGATCAGGAGGCAATATAGGAGGGAGGTACCTCCGTCTCATTTAATGTGGGGTTATTTATACCCTGGGAGAGAGATTTTATATTCCAAAACCAGGTTGTAAAATCAGACTCCACAGCAGTACCAAGAGAGTATATAAATAGGATGAAACCATTAATCTTTCATTTTGTGTGAACAATGTTCACAAGTTAGTTACAGTTCATGCCTTCCAAGTCTCAGACCCCCATTAAGGATTCTACTAATCACTAGTCAGTACCTTCAGGCTTACTAAGGGTCAGCACAGCCCAAGCATCCCCAGAGATTAGCACAAGTTGCAACAGAGGAGCTGAGATTAGCATTTTGCTTGCTCTGCAAACTTTTCCCCTCATATTTCTCTCTCTTTCAGGTATAGTTCCTTTCTCAGAGGACTATCTCAAATGTTTGCTTTTGCAGCAGGCGCCCTCTCATCCACTGTTTCTGGATATTTTATAAAGCAGGTAAGGTCATATATTCTGATGCAAATATTTATAAGAGAAACCTACAGTGCACCCCCCCCACCCCGTTGAAGTTACAGTGCGAGTATTTTCTTCCCTCCTCAACTTGGCTCAATGCAAAGCTCAAGAATCTCAAGCATTCCACATGCTCTAGCCTTTATTCTAGGCTCAAGTGTTACAGGGAATTACCACAGATTCAGGTGTGGAGATGGTCGAAAATTCCATTTTATGAGTTTATGCTTTATGAGTTCCTAGAAGGTGAGATTCTTAAGGCATTCAGCAATTTTTTAAGCAACATTTGTGGCATTTCTTCTAACCACTCTGACTGGAACATTCAATTTCCATGATGTGGTATTTTTCAATGCTGAAACCATGAATGTAACAGGGAATCCCTAAAGAGTTCATCAACATATGTAGTAACCTAACAAATATTTGAGGAATGTATGAGTAAGATACTGAGTGAATGACAGAGTGAAGGAACGCACCCTACCCTGTTATGTCTAGCAGTGGACATACTCCTCTGGCCAGCATTGCTGTCCTAATGGTTTTCTAATACTAAAGCTTCCCATCTTTGCAGATGAGTGTGGAATAAAATTTAGCATAAAACTTGAATATTTCTAAGAAATCTTATTGATACAGCCTTTATATGAAGAAAGATATATATATGGCATTCATGCAGCATAATTCTTGTTTCCAACAAAAATTCAGGAATATGAATGAAAAATAAAAAGAAAGTATACTTCTATGACATTAAGTTGTTTTTATTAAACTACCGTTTTCTCCTGTTTTACATTCATTTGTCTATCCATCCATCCATCCATTCACCCATCCAGTTAATATGTATTGAACATGAATTTGTGCCTTGCATTGTATAAGTAAATAAAATGCACACAAGTCCATATCCTTGAGAAGCAGATATTTTAAGAAAGTGAATAGCTAAAAACTAAAGAAAGAGTAAAATATACATGAATGGTAGATGGTAAGTACAAAAGAATAAGTAGGGGAGGTTTAATGCAGGTGCAGTAGGGTGGACATTCAATTTTGTAATGAAAGCCCAAGGAAGGAAGCACTCACTGTAAAAAACTAACATTTAAGCAAGTAAGCAAGGAATGAAACAAATTTCTAGGTGGGATAAACCATGTGAGCAAAGGGAAAGGCACAGGAAACACACCTGTGTATTCCAGGAACAATCAGGAAGCCCATCGAAGTTCAAATCCAGTTAAGGGTGGGAGTAACAGGACATGGTGCCAGACCCATGATAAGTAGACAGAAGAGATGCCAACTGGGAAACTCTGATAACCTGTTGTTTTCTGCCTCCAGGATTCAGAGCTTGCTTGGAGAAATATCTTCTTGCTTTGCGCTGGTATTGACATAGCAGGCCTTGTCTTCTACCTGATTGTTGGCCAGGCAGAGGTGCAGGAATGGGCGAAAGAATAGACATTCATCCACTTACGAGCAAGCTGAGGGATTACACGCTACCTGATATCCTGGGGTTTAATTGTGCATTGTGTGCCCTCAAAGACTCCCTTTTCATATCTGCTTGACTGATTAAATTCAATTTGAACTGACTTTGTTTAGAGTATCTTCTCAGAGACCTTGACTATGTAAAACCAGAGGATTTTCCTTGTGATGGGAGAGGGGAAAGTGAGCTATTTCCCTATGAGCACCTGACAGCATAGGTGTGTTTGAATTTCTATGTGATATATATTCATTCTATCTTATGCCACATGGAAAAGTATACATTACTTTCTGCTCCTAGTCCTGGAACAGAGCTCCAAAACCCTTGTGATTTTTCTGAGTTGTATGCATGATAGTAACATCTTTTGTTATAATATTTGGTTTTAGTCCCTGTCTCCTGACATAAGAGCCTTTATGAACCTTGAAATTTTTATATTTTAATGATGTATAATTAAAACTTATTTGTTATAAACCAATAAAATTTCTTTTTAAAAAGGGAAAGAGAGTTGTCAGTCCCTTTTCCTACAGAAGAGTGTCTGCCTGCAACTTTGCCCTAGCCAGAGAGACAGTGCAAGAATATCACACTAAAATCTTAGTGGACACACCAGATTATATTGGAATGAGTATTTTCAATGACCTAATTGGGGGTGGATGTTTGTTAATTCAGATAATCACAGGAATTTTTATTACTGAAGAACACTTTAAAATATGGACGTAGGAGGAAATCTGACTTTTCATTTTATCTACACTGAGCTGGTTCAAAAGGAAAATACAACACCTGCCCCTCAACTCTTCATCTCTTGAGAAATTTTGTTCAAATGATATCAGAGAAATGCCAACATAATTTGTAGAATTTCATGGCTACATCCATAGAATGGCCCTACCCCCCTTAAAGCACCTGTTTGGGAAAACTCAAAGATGCTGAAAGAATTTCTAATTTGTTCTAGTCAACCTCTGGAGATAATGCCCCTGCCTGTGAGCCTCCATGGGGATTAGGTGCCAAATTCTGTGAGCACCATAAGCAAACCCATGGGTTCACATGGGCCAATCCCTTTCCTGTCTATTCACAATTTTTCACTTCTCTGAGTCAACTGAGCACAAGCTCATCCCCTTCTCTATTTCCTCTTCTCCCTTTAATATGCCATCACCCTCTTACAAACTAAAATTGAGTTCAGTCATGTTAGAGTTTTTCCATACTGCAGTAGGATATTAATGATTAAAGTCTGTCCTCACCACATCTAGCAGTGTCCAGCTTTGTTTATCTTTGACACTAGTGTAAAGTGTCAGTGCCCAGCTGAGATGAAGATTTCCATTTCCTAAGGAGTAGCCTGGGGCAGGTGTTGAGGTGTGGGCAGGGACAGAGGGCCTCCACGAGGAGGTGCCATGTGAAGGTGCAGGAATGGGAGAGGAATGAGAAATGTGTCTATGGACACATCACCCAAAGCAGTGATAGTGAAGGCAAAGATAAACAGCTGGGACTACATCAAATTAAAGAGCTTCTGCACAGCAAAAGAGACAACAACAAAAACAAAGAGAAACCCCACTAACTGGGAGAACATTTTTGCACACAACATTAATGATAAAGGACTGATCACAAAAATCTGCAAAGAGCTGATGAGACTCAACAAAACAAAGAAAATAATCCTGTCAAAAAATGGGCAGAAGAGCTAAAAAGAAACTTCTCTGAAGAGGAAATGCAAATGGCCAACAGGCATATGAAAAAATGCTCAACATCACTTGTCATCAGGGAAATGCAAATCAAAACTACCATGAGATACCATCTTACACCAGTGAGAATGGCACATATTAAAAAAACTAGCAACAACAAATGTTGGCGAGGATGTGGAGAAAAAGGAACTCTCCTGCACTGTTGGTGGGAGTGCACACTGGTCCAACCACTATGGAGAGCTGTGTGGAGATTTCTGGACCTACTAAACATAGAGCTTCCATATGATCCAGCAATTGCACTCCTAGGTATTTACCCAAAGGACACAGAAACATCCATTCCAAAGAGCACCTGCACCCCTGTGTTTATAGCAGCACTGTTTACAATAGCTAAGCTTTGGAAACAGCCCAAATGGCCAAAAATAGATGAATGATCAAGAAGATGTGGTACATATACACCATGGAATATTACTCAGCATTCAAAAAAGATAAACACATGCAATTTGCAGCAACATGGATGGCGCTGGAAGGGATCATGCTCAGTGAAATAAACCAGAAAGAAAAAGAAAAATACCGGATGGTCTCACACATAGAAGGAATCTAGAAAACTTAAATAAGGGACCAGGAAAATGAATAACTATAAGAAAGTGAAAATCAAAATCAACAAACAACTATGAACCAGAGACACTCTATGGGGGGTGGAGGGCGGGGAGGGGAGGGATTAGGGTCAAAATAAGGGGGTTGCAATTGTATGGGGAATATAAAAATAAAATTTATTTTTTAAAAAAAGGAAAACTTTATAGCATAACTTCATTAAATATGTGAATTTAGAAAAAATATGTGGTTGGGCCAGTTTGCACTCCCACCAACAGTGCAGGAGAGTTCCTTTTTCTCCACACCCTCGCCAACATTTGTTGTTGCTGGTTTTTTTTAATATGTGCCATTCTCCCTGGTGTGAGATGGTATCTCATGGTAGTTTTGATTTGCATTTCCCTGATTACAAGTGATGTTGAACATTTTTTCATATGCCTGTTGGCCATTTGCATTTCCTCTTCAGAGAAGTTTCTTTTTAGCTCTTCTGCCCATTTTTTGGCTGGATTATTTTCTTTGTTGTTGGAGAGCTGTGTGGAGATTTCTTGACCTACTAAACATAGAGCTTCCATATGATCCAGCAATTCCACACTTAGGTATTTACCCAAAGGACACAGAAACATCAATTCCAAAGAGCACCTGCACCCCTATGTTTATAGCAGCACTATTTACAATAGCTAAGCTTTGGAAACAACCCAAATACCCAAAAATAGATGACTGGCTCAAGAAGATGTGGTACATATACACCATGGAATATTACTCAGCATTCAAAAAAGATAAGCACATGCCATTTGCAGCAACATGGATGGCGCTGGAAGGGATCATGCTCCGCGAAATAAGCCAGAAAGAAAAAGAAAAATACCGGATGGTCTCACTCATAGCAGGAATCTAGAAAACTTAAATAAGGGACCAGGAAAATGAATAACTATAAGAAAGTGAAAATCAAAATCAACAAACAACTATGAACCAGAGACACTCTATGGGGGATAGGGGGCGGGAGCGGAGGGATTGGGGTCAAAATAAGGGGGTTGCAATTTTATGGGGAATATAAAAATAAAATTTATTATAAAAAAATAAAATAAAATAAAAAAATGTGTCTATGGAAGTGAGCATGGTGGTGGCAAGGAGAGACTGGTGTAGGTAGAGGGATTGGTTGAGTAAATCCATATTCTAAGCACACACAGGAAAATGGTGACTAGAGGGGTGATAGATATGTTAAAAAGTTTGTGGCAATAGTTTCATGATGCATACATAATCTAAAAAGCATATTATATTCATATCTTTATTTGTCAAAAATAAATGAATCAAATTTGAAAAAAAAAGAATTATGTGCTGGAGAAAAAGAATTACAAATATTGAGATGCAGACAATTAGAATGCAACTTGTGGTGTTGGATTGGTAAGCAGTATTGGTATAAATTCATGGGTGTTTGTAGACTGAGTACACAGACAGACAAACTGATAATTACATATACACATGTAGTCCCTACCTCCTCCTCCTAATGAACCTGTGGTAGAACAAAACCCAACATCCTTGACCACATCTAGCCTGAGATTTCTAAACATGAGTCTCAAACTTTAAGATAAACCAGGGCCTCTTCAAGAGTGGGCTGATTGGGCCTGCCCTGGTGGCACAGGCGGTTGAGCACAGTGCTGTGAAGCTGTCCACAGCCTCTGCAGCATGGGTTCGATCCCAGCCGGCTGGCGAGAATCCCACATGGTGAGGCAGACCTCTCCTGTCGCGCCTGCTGCTCTCCTCAGTGGTGTATTTCGTCAGTCTGCCTGTTCTGTTCCCCACTCTGTCTCTGGTGAATCCTCTTACCCTCCCATGCATCTGGCCTGTACCCCAGTTCTTGTATAAATAAATAAATAAATCTTAAAAAAAAAAAAAGGAATAGCAAGGGGGAAAAAAAAAAAGAGTGGGCTGATTTCTGTGCTTGGCTAGGGAAAATACTTGATGAGCCTGGAATGCTGTATTGTGCCAGAATGCATATAAGTAGTCCAAGAATGATGAAGAACCACTGACCAAATCTGAAAAGTTGAGCATCAAGGCAAGTAGTAATGGTAAGATCTTGTAAAGCACTGACAAATAGGTGACCACAAGTCCACACTGAAATAAGCAAATCAATTAGAAGTCTTATGTGAATTGAAATATATCCATATCCCCAAGTAACTTCTCTTAATTAGACTTTTCTTCATTGAGAAGTAGTGTGTTTCAATAACATGTTTTCAATGTGGATAGCTGTAACTTGGCAGAGAGAAAAACCAACAGACACCACCAATATCAAGTAAAAAGAAAGAATTACATCGTCAGAATGGTGTTCTTGCCTAAATGGCCAACCCGAATCAAACCATGGAAAACATTGGAGAAACCTTAGCTGAGGGACATCCGACATTGGTCTGTGCTTTTTAACCACTCATCAAACTCCAGTAAGGACTAAGGGACAATAATAGAAATAAGAAATCAAAAGAGACATAACAACTAAATGTAACCTGAGAGTCTAAACATCTGTTGAGGATCATTTCTTTTACCAAAAAGAACATTATTGGTATAATTGGTTATAAGGTAAGTGATTAGCAGGCTTTTCTGCCCTCCCGCCATTGGCATTGATGATGGATCCCTGCGATCCTACATGCATGCCTGATGGCAGACACCTGGAATAGGGTGTGGGCATGCATAGGTGGGCACATCTGGGCAGAGATGGGGCTTATAAGGGTGGCGTCATGGGGAACCAAAAGAAGAGAAAGAGTAGAAGAACAAGAACAAGAGAGCAGAACGAGAACAAGAGAAGAAGGAGAACGCCAGAGAGCCCAGTGTAGGGTAAGTAAAAGTATTGGCTTTTCTGCCCTCCCACCATCAGCATTGATGTTGGAACCCCGCAGCCCTGAATGCATGCCTGATGGCGGGCACCTGGAGTAGGGTGTGGACATGCGTAGATGGGATTCACCTGGGCCAAGAGACTGGGCCTATAAGGCCAGAGGATGGTGTGGTGTGGAGCAGCATGGAGTGGAGTACAGAGCAGGGCGGCGGTGTATGGGGGGCATTGGGCGTGCGGCGGCGAATAGCAGAGAACATGAAGGCACCAACAGGTCTGCTTGAACCGGTTATGAACCCACCCGGTATGGGATGGTTTTATTACACCCAGAAAGAGTGAAGACTCGGGGCCGGGAGGCCTGCCAGCCGCGTATCTGGTAAAAGCTCAATAAAAGCCTGAAAAGCCACTG